AGGGTTTAGGGTTTAGGGGCAAGTGGCACAAGAGAGAAGGTTTAGAGCTCGGGGTTTGCTGTCTTATACAACGAATGCAATGAACCCTTCCTCTCTGCTGCTGGGCTCACCTTATATGGGTGTTCAGGGTTGAGGGGTTTCGCTTTTAAGCGCGATGATCCTAANNNCCCTAAAGCCCCCCCTAAACCCTAAACCCTAAACCCTAAACCCTAAACCCCAAGTCCTCCCAGGCTTTTGGTTGTAGGCAAGCAGCGTTGTATATGCCGGGTACGTCCATTCCAGCGTTGTCGTGGAGGTGGTCACCTCAACGGGTAGCCAAACTGCAGCGTAGGCGGCGCCGCCGTAGAAGGCCCTGCACGTGACCTTCACGTCATCGTTGTACACCTGGGATATTTGGACCCTTAAAGGACTACATGACTCATCTTTCTAGGTCTGATGATCCATCACTAAAATCCCTTTAAGGGATCTGTTAAGTGTTTCATTAAGGGAAGGGATCCCTTTAAGGGTTCCTTTATCGGATCCTCTTGAGGGATCCCTTTAAGGAAGGCCTGAAGCAAAGGTCATGCCGAAAGGCGGCACCCTCTGCCCTAAACTGGAGAGCCCCGAAACCCTAAAACGGCTGAGGGTTCGGGGCTTAGGGCTTGGAGCTTCGGGTTTAGGGTTTAGGGTCTAGGGTTCAGGATCTGCTAAAACCCTATGAAATGCTTGTAAAAGCACTACACTACAAGCCCTTTCTAACCTCCCTAGACCAATGAAAGTGAGTCAAAGCCTACGGTACACCTCAAACCCAAAATGTACATATAGGGCGTTGGGTCAAAGATTCAATATGGGCCTGCTTTACTAAAGAATGGGCTCATAATGGCATGTTTAGTATAGCTGCGCAGAGGCTACAAAGTTATACTCCCAATAATTATTCGAAATCTCTGTGTCTCTCTCTCTCTCTCTCTATGTTTCTCTCTATGTTTCTCTCTCTCTCTCTCTCTCTTGGTCTTTCTCTCTCTCTCTCTCTCTCTCTAAAAAAATT